CCTACCATTTCTTGGACATGGGTCCAGTGCCCTAACAACAAGGTTATTCCGGCCCACACCGGAATAACAAAATAAAATAAACCCGCATACCAGGTTGAAAAATAAGTGCTGAACCAAAATTTGATTTCACATCTTTCATCATCTCAAAACCTTAGTCAAGCCTTCTTTAACGAATAGATCAAAACAGAACTCTGTGGTTGGAACTGTTGANATGTTGAGCCACCTCAGCTAGATTTGGCATGTGACATTTTTAGTGGCAATCATTGGTCCATTTTCTAGCGTTGCCATTCGGGGAGTTGTAATGAGGCTTTTTCTTGTCGCCGTGTAACAGAAATACTATATATATAGATATTATAACCGTCGTTAAGCAGCCAGCTCACACCGGAATAATATTATTGTATATTATAACCGTCGTTGAGCAGACGACCCAATTTTAGGTTTACGACTACTAATATTCAACTCCATAACCTTGTAATTTTGTACCTACAAAGAAGACAAGGAAACTTTTGGATCATTACCCCCAGAGGTATTGATTTATCATGGAAACATAGAGGACTTTGTGACTCGACAGATTTAACGTGCACCAGTCACTATTTACTACACGGGGAATCTGTTGCTGGCGGGGATCGAACCCACCATTTCTTGGACATGGGCCCAGTGCCCTACGAACAAGGCTATCACGGTCCACACCGGAATAACAAAAAAAAAAAAAAATAAACCCGCAANCAAACCAGGTTGAAAAGCAAGTGCTAAACCAAAATTTGATTTCACATCTTTCATCATCTCAAAACCTTAGCCAAGCCCTCTTTAACGAACAAATCAAAACAGAACTCTGTGGTTGGAACGGTTGAAAGTACTTCCTTTCCTTTCCTCACCTTGATAGATCCCAGGCTCAGAACTAAACCTCTTCAGACAAATGTGATTTTATGCAAGTGTTAATTGATACAAAACAATCTCAGTTTAGTGATAAATTAATAAAAATTTTAAATAAAATAACCTATCTAATTAAAAAAGTGTGCTAGGGGACTAATTTTAAAGTCTTCTTGTAGCATTTCGGCTATAAAATTTTTTATCGTAGTTAGCAGCTGAGAAATTTCGGGCTTTTTGAAAAGTTAGGCATTAAGAGTCATTAATGTTTCTGAGAGATATTATGTATGTTCTTATTTCTGATAAAATCGGGAATATCACTCATTTTTATTAGTAATTTGCTTTAGAACGCGTTAAGTGCTTTGGTCTGAAATTACTAATATTGCCTCAGGAAGGGAATAAATAAGTTAACTAAATATTACGTTTATTTTTGAGTGACATTTTTGGATAAGGACCCAGTAAACATTTTGATTTATTGCAAATTCAGAAGGCTTTAGCAATTATTTTATTACTATGATCATTCCAGTTAATATTTTTATTAATTTTTATTAATATGATTATTTATTAATATTTTTATTTATTAATTAATATTATTATTTTTATTATTTATTCGCACTGACTGTCACAAATACGTGCCAGCATGAAACCGTATCAATCAGGGTAAAAAGATAAAACTGGTAACCAAAGTAGTTCCTTAGCAGCTTATTTGTGGGCGGGGTTATAACTGATTGATTTATTTAATTCACCATGACTTTAGTTCAAAATAAAATTATTATTGTATAAATTGAAATATCATAGATTATATATATGATTAAACTAACAATACTTAAAGTAAAAGCAAAGTAAGTCTGTCAAATTAGCAACGCCTACATTTAAGTTACCGTTTTTTATTTATTTACATCCTGATTCGGAATTTGTACGAATGCTTTTATGAATCACGCGTCCCAAAGGGGTTAATTGTGAGGCCCAAATCTGTGCTCCTATCCAGAAACACCAACTACTCCGGATTCGACAATATACTTTAAAAAACAGTACAGAACTGCAAACTATTTTAAGATTTTCAATTAAATATGCCAACTTTCAAAAGAGCTCCACCAACGACTCCTGTTCCTAAAATTCTCCACACGGTTTCTTGTAGATCATGTAGATTTAGTACCTGTAGATCTTGTCTTATCGGACCACTAAGAAGGTAAATTGGTCTAAGCAAGAGACATTCAATTGAAAATCTCGTAAAAATAAGAAACTGGTACCAAATATATGCCTAAATTTTTTTTTTAATATGATTAGTTTGTCTTATTTACTCGTTAACCACCACAGATGCAATTCTCAACCTAATGCAGTAAAAAGTTCAACTAAGAGACGTTTTTTTCAAGACCTATAGAAGTTGGTAGCTAATCCATATGCATACCTGCCAACATTCACTCTTTTCGAGAATGAACTTTCCATGTGGTAGTAAAACAATTAACGAAAAACTATCTTCCTTAAAAATATATTTATATTTTAATCAGGTTGAAATTCGCAGTCTTAAGGAAAAATATGCTTTTATATATTTGCTGTAATTATTTATATGTAGTGGTGGTCAAACTGATTTAAAATTATAAATATAATTCAAAAAGTTTAGTGAAATAACATGAATTTCGCTAGCAGTTTAAATATGAAAATAAAATCTTCCGGGAAAACCGGAAGAGTTGACAGCTATGCATATGCTTCCCCTCGTACATTCACTGCATTTGCTAAATATTTTAATCAGTGGTAGTGAATTAAAACAGAAATTTTTTCAAGCAATTGAAATTAGTATATTATTTAAGGATATGTCTGTAGTTTTATTTCACCTTAAATAGGTTTGTTCAATTTCTTAACCCTAAGACAAGTCATAAATGTATTCGTATGGAATCAGAATGTGGATGAGGCAAACAATAAAAAAGCATTAGCTTCACCTTGGGCATGGCTTGACAGATTTATTTGACAGACTTATTATTTTTGCTTTCACTTTGAATCTAACACATCCAAATCATGATTGTGAAAAGAGAAGCACTATAATTTTTAATTTGAAAAAGTAGTGGCGAATTCAATAAAGCAAATTATTATTTCGTAGCTCAGGAATAAACTGCTATAAAAATTAGTTTAGTTCAATTATAGTTAAACATAACATAAAAAACGCTGTTCTGGAGATTTCCGCATCGTGATCTGTGGCAAAATAATCTGAGAAAAGTTTTGGCAGTTTCCGGGCAGTGGCAACGACTCCTATAACTTGATGTCTCCACGCAGTTTTTTTTGTAGGTAGTGCGATCAGACCACTATGAAGGTAAACAAGTTTACGAGCGAAGCATTTGATACAAAATCTAGTAAAAGTTCGATAGTGGTTGCAAATATATATCTAAAAATTTGTTTAATTTTTGAATATAATTGGTTTATCTTATTTACTTGTCTACCAGTACCGATTCAATTAACCAATATATATGATTAACTTTTCTCAAATTACGTTAGAAAATCAAGCATTACATTGGCTACATCACAGGCTCCCACGAACTCAAGCTCATATCAAAGAGTCAATTGTTCGCTTCGCGGACAGCGTGCCTTTCAACTCTTCCGGTTTTTTCGGAAGATTTTATTTTAATATTTAAAGTGGTAGCAATACTCATGTTATTCCAATTAACTTTTTGAATTATAATGATAATTATAAATGAGTTTGACCACCACTACATATAAATTATTACAATAAATATATAAAAGCATAATAATCCTTGCACAAGCCTATTTCAACAGGATCAAAATATAAATATATTTTTGAAGTCAGATCAGGGCTCGAAAAAACTCAGAAATTTTACCCGTCCCCGAGGACGGCTTGTCCAACAATGTACCCGTCCTCCTTCGAAACTAACCCGTAGCTTCTAAATAAATAGAAATATAATTTTCTCTTATTTACTGCTAACATTTATATAAATTGCTCAATGAATTAGTAGTTACTAGGATTACATTATACAGTAAAAGAAATACTGGGTTACTAATAGTAAAACCTAGTATTTCTTTTATGAAATAATTTAGATGACAAAGGTCAAGTTATCTGAAATGTTAATTTATCCGAGGGTACTGCGTTTTTTAAATGAATCAAATATGACGTTTGCCAGTTCCACAATCAAACCAATGATTAACAGAGGTTTCTGCACAAAAATTTGAAAGGGGTTTTCCATTTAGGTAGATGTTTATAATTGCGTTTAACGCTTCTTGTTTAAGACCAGTACGTAATGTGTTTTTTTGTAAGTTCATTTGAAAAACCTCTTTCAACCGCTGCATTACTCCCAGACACATCAATTCCACCATGATCAGTATGTTGCTGTATTTCTAGATTAGAGGGTCATTTTAAAAGTGAGGAGCTAGACTCTTGTAAGATAACAAAATGTATCACGAACATCGGGAAAATGGCCGTCCGTGCGGACGTTGGATTCGAGAAATTTGTTGTCCGCGGGGAATTTTTGACCGCCGAGGACGGGCGGTTTTTCGAGCTCTGAGTCAGATTGTTTTTCGTTTATTGTTTTACAACCACTCTGAAAATCCATTCACAAATAGAGTGAAAGTTGGCAGGTATGGGGCAGGCACTCTGTAAGAAACACCAGTTCAAGTAATGTTAGAAAAGAATTTGGATTCATGAGCACAACTGGTTCACTTTTTAAATAGTCTGCGCAGACTACTTATAAAAAACCGCGTGGGGGCTTTCTGATCCAGGAGGTAATGGCAGTGACCGACAAGAAGTTTAAAAAAAATTATAGAAAGGGACCAACTTGAAAGGAATTACTCGTAGTCACCTTCCTGCAAACATCTACATTTATTTTTAAAATATCTATTTCGCACCTTGGCGATTGAAGTTGGGGTGATAGATCACGGTGAGGAACTATATCCACAAATAGTTAAATATAGCATTTCTACCTTTTTTTTTAATCCTAATTGTCACTGACCTGAGAATGCATGTATGACTCGCCCGTTTCGAAGAGGTAAAATATCAATTATCTTCTTTCCTTGTAGGGAAAATATTTTCTGAACTATGGAAATTCAATAGTAGGTGTTAGAGGGTAAGCATGTGGTTGAAAGAAAAAAAGACAGAACTTAAATCAAATTAAATTAAAGAAGTAGTCATAAATTGTTAAACTCATATTTTTTTATTTCAGAGTCTTACATTTACATTATACACTGCTAGTCAAAGATGATACAATATTTCATTATGTCTGTTTTATATCCGCGGAGTTACAATAGATATAGATTAACTTGTAAAAGGCATTTGTGTCTGAAATGATACAGTTAAAGTGTGATCCAAATAAAATGAAAGAGGACATGTCATCTATCACGGAAATTGTGTGGGGGAAAAACATAAATTCTATGGCAGTTTGGAGATTTGCTCACTTGAAGAATCATCAAACCTTTTCCCTCTAGTGGCAAAAAATGACATCGGCCGCTTAAGAGCTAGTGGGAAGAGAAAAAAAAGTAATTTTTATATAAATATGCAATCTTATACTAAAATTACAAAGTCTGAGTAAAGATATGAATTAAGATAATTACAACTGAAACTAAAAGTCAGGATTTATATTGGTTATATATTTCATTGGCATGCTTAGACCCTCTTACTCTTGACTACTAATGTATATTGTATGTATCCAGTGCCTCATTCAACCAAAGTCACGTACTTGACCTGCAGTTTTGACAGCGATCGGATGACGTGGATAACCCCTGAAATGGTATCATTCCCTCCATATTTACACACAATAAACGACGAGATGAATTCCATGTACGACATATTTAAAACCCACCTCGCTGCGTATATACGCCGGTTGTTGCTGAAAGAAGTGAACTCACAACATCTCTCTACCAGTGATGTGTGCGATGCCTTAGCAGACTGTACCAACGCAGCTCCCTCAACGACTGTCACGAATTGAGCTCTACAACAGAACATGCCTTGACCAGAGGAACGTACAGAAAACGAAGTTTGCTTATCTATTGAGATGGAGTTGTTAATTGTCCACATTGATGGAAAATTCTTTTTGTTCAAGGACTTTGCAATAGTTCTAATGCTGAGTAGGTTTGAGGTGTTGGAGCTTGCTCAGTCTCATTTTTTTTGTAATAAATTCCATAAGTTTATTATCTTTCTGCCAATAATTTATTTCTTAGAATTGATAACTTTCATACTTTTACGTGTGGGAGCTTAGTCTCTGTAAGTGTTGTGTCCTATTGAAAATCGTTGCATGAAGCATCACTGCATCAGCAAGGTTACAGATGCAGAGGTTCATTGTTGATGGTTTGAAACGTTCAGTATATGATCTGAACGGGATGCGGTTATCATCGGCTCTCATAGTCTACGATAACCATGCTGATTCAGAATTGTAATTCAAAAATCTACATGTAGGTAAGAGATATGGTTTTAAGCTATATTCATAACATCTATTCCTTTGACAACTCGTTCGTCTACTTTTAATACTTTTCTTTTAGGTTACATGAAAAATTGGAGTTTATAAAACCCCTGGGGTTGTGGTAATGACACGCATCGGTACACTTGGTGGTGCGAATCGGTTCTGCAAGTGGACTTATCGCTGTTAAACCAGTTTTTTTTCGAATATTCTTCGACTAATGCGCAATCGTTACTGAACGTGTAACTACATCTACGGGCCGCAACTTTAGACATCTTTAAAAAAATATTGAGACAAATCGACTTTGTGTAATAAATTATTACTCAGCCCAGATGGCTCAGAGGATCGATAGCTTGCCTCGCAATGAAGTGCTCCGAGTTCGAATACCAGTGACGGGGGGTGGAAATGAATTTCTCACCCGTCTCGCTTCAACCATAGTGCTGACATAAAGTATTCTTAATGATAGGCGGATCATGTGTTGGAGTCCCCTTGCACTCAGTCTAACCGTAGAAGGTTTTCGTGGCCTTCCTCTTCATGTAACGCAAATACGAGTTAATTCCATCAAAAAGTATTACACTATGCCAAATTTCTCCCAATGCTTGATCCAGGAGTTCCCTTGTCTTCTACATTTTGTTGAAAATTAGAAGGCTATGGAGTTGAACATTGGGAGTACCAAACTCTAAACAGGGTCGGCTGTTCATAGATGGTTATAAAATAAGTTATTTCTAACAAGTGACCCGTCAGTGACTTAGTCAGTGACTTAGATTTGATCACGATCGTTTTTTTTTTCAACTTAGATTTAACAATAGGTTTCCGTCGAAGTTGCATGGTAGCCCTTAGTGGAAGCTCTTCATTTTTCGTAAGCATGGTATTCCACATTTTCCGTATATGGTTACGCATGTACGATCTTTTTTTAATATCTGTCCTATAAAATAATGTCTTGTTTGTCAGTTTTCTCAAATTTTGTAAATTTCATATTTACAATTCTGATACCCAGTTTTTGCCAATTTCAAAATATTATTTATGCATCGAAAATTCTTAGATGCAAAATGATTGATTTCCTCGTAAGTCTACAACATAAAAACTTTTTTTACGAAATATAAAGCTTTAATGTAATTTATAATTACCTAGACAGAATTCAAATTAATAAATTTATTTCAGTTTATTTTTCAGAAGCAATAAATATGCGAAAATTAAAAACGACTACTGATGGCTATTGAAACATTGTTCTGAGCTTCCATCCCGAAATAGTTTTAAGTGTATTTTAACAATTACATTGTTCAATTAAAATCTAGAGTAACACTGATTAATTTAGCATTTTATTTACACAAAATTGTCATGAAGTGCTCTTATTCAAAAACACTGCTTATTTCTCAGAATCTACAGATTTTACGAGCGTTTGTATCGCGGGCATTCGGTGTTGTGGGTCAAGGGAATCAAGATAATGCTTTAAAACCTAAATTTTTCTACTACTGTAAAATAGTTTCTTCAACGATAGCAAAAGTTGTCATGTTGCTTATAAATAAGATAAGATAATTTTTTTAAGTGTAAAAATCGAAAGTTAATGACTTTTTATGCAATGATATATGTTAAAAAGTCTTTTATGTGTTTAGTCATGGGTTAAAATAAATTTAAGAAAAATCAACTGAAAGTTAGCTATTAGCAATTGACTTTTTTCAGAAAAAAAATAATCACATAATCACTAAAAAATTTTTTCAAAGAACATGTGATATCATTATTGCTTTTAGCTGCCAAATGTTATAAAAATAATGACACTGTAAAACAATTTTTTAATTGGAAAAAATGTTCTCCGGCATGCAGATATAAGAGGAAAACACAGTTAAACGGGGAATTAAATTGCGATAAAAAGTCTTCCGGCAATGACACAGAACAAAGTCAAAACAAATTGATTGGCACCTATATGATCCAATAGATATCGGTCTATATTTGAAAAATACTTTCTGAAAAAAGTATTATAGTGTTAAAAGTAATGAAGTATGAAACTGTTATTTTTGTCTTCTGGAAATTGGCGTTAAACGGTCGACCCAATTAAGAGTTTATGATCAATGTTAAATTCCTTAGTCATTGCAATTTTGCTCTCAACTTAGAAGACAAAGGACTCCCGGATCAAGCATTGGGACAAACTAGCCCTCATGAAGGACTTTTTTAATGGAACTAATCCCCATTTGCGTTGCATGCAGAAAAAACCACGGAAACCTCACAGGGTTCGGCAAGGGGAATCTAACTCATGACATGATCCATCCACTATTGAGGATATTTTACGTCAGCACTGTGAAATGTTCAAAATTGTTATCACAGATCGTAAGACAAGCTTAGTATCATTAGTAGTGTGATTGGTAAACATACTTAAAGTACACTTGAGTATTTCACACGCGGCGCGGTCCTGAATAGTCGAGCGATGAGCTTTTCAATGGAGTCAACTGAAGTCTCTTAAGTGAGGTTTTCTTAAATGCCCTTTAGAACAATAAATGAACACTCGTTAAATCTTGTAATCATTGGAACGGTCTTCCACGCCCAATCCAGCGCATCGTAACTGCGGACTTTCATACAAAAATGGGCTGACGCGTCATCATGATGATTCATACTTGTTTGCGAGCCCCAGATGGCACTTCTTGGAGCAATTCTTGTAAAACCACTTCCTGAAAAATTCGATAACAGCTACCAGTTGAGGAGAGATATGGGCTTATGAGGTAATCATTCACAATACTAGCCCAAGCAAATATAAGGAAGTATAATTGATTTACATGAGCGTGAGGATAATTATAAAAACTGCCCACAATAGATCTCCTATCCCTCATGTGCAACCTTTAAAAATTACCCAATTTTCGTGTTTATGACTACTAATGTTCAACTTCGTAGCCTTGTATTTTTGAACCCAATACAAGGCAAGACAACGAAACTCCCGGATCAGTAACCCCAGAGGTATGATTTGTTATGGGAACATGGATGACTTTGAGACTCCACAGATTTAACGAGCATCAGTCATCATTTACTACACGGGGAATCTTCAGCCGATGGAGATCGAACCCACGACCTCTTCGACATGGGCCCAGTAGTCTAACAACTAGACTCCAAGGAATTTCAAATCGATAGGGAAAAAATTTGAGAATAAGGAAGTAACCGCTGAAGTTGTATTTTAAATTAGAAGTGCTATTTCATATAATGTATTACATCATGAGTTGTGGAACAGAAAAAACATTCGTTACGAATGCAACAGGAGACAATAGACAAGAAGTGTAAAGGCTAAATACTAATAACACTTAAAAAGATTAAATCATTTATGTGCCACAGTCAGCTACAATTGCGTTTTCATTATCGTCGTTACACAACATGTATTCTTCTGATTTATCGACGATTCCAAGTGGTTCCAAGTTGATTCATACACGACTGGCACCAAAGATAACTTTGATCTCGTAGAAGTTCGATAAAAGGTTTTCATGGCACAACATGAGAACCTTCAAAGGATGTGGCAGCTAAAATTTGCTAATCAGAGACTAATATCATTTCAAGTCAAATAAGTATCTTATACATTCTAAAAGAGAAAATTGCACTACAATATCAGAACATAGGCGTACCTGCCAACATTTGAGGCTTATATTACATATACTTTTCAGTGGTAATGAATTTCGGCAAAGTTTCTGAAACAGATTGTATATAAAATATTTATCAGAACAATCCAATGTCCAATATTCTACACTAGTGGTCTCCGACCCTCAGACTGGTACAGCGCAGGGAATCAAATGATCTAAATGCCTGTTTACACGGTCCTTCCTGAATCCGAAAAATTGGAGGAATTTCTCTCTCCAAGAAATTGGATGATTAGTCGACACCATCCAAGTTTCGAAATGTCACTGATTGGTCGGCCTGCGCTTGTGCATTGTTCATACTCGGCATTATAAAATTATATTTGCTTGAATTTAAAATTACTAAATAAATTCAAATAAAATCATAATCATACAAATAGACCATATATATGAAAACGGATAATAAATTGTCATAATCTGATGCCTGCTTGTTGATGTCACAAAACTTAAGAAGGTG